TCTAAGTAGGTGCTTTAGACCACTGAGCCATCTCACCAGCCCCCAAGAGAGAACCTTTTTGTTTTTTAATTTTTAAATTTTTTATGATTTTGGTAGGAATCAAACTCACAACCTTGTGCTTGCCAGGCAGGCACTGCATCACTGAGTTATCTCTCTGGCCCTATGTAGCCATTTTCTACAAGCAGTCACAGTGGGAGGTGGAGTGATACATATTTTTCATCTTTCTAATTCCATCCTGATTTATTGGATTTGTGTTTTAAAAGGAGACATATTGCTTCTATAAGTAGAGTTACAAAGCAATTAATTTTTTTTTTTTACAGTCAGAGATTGAACTCACACTCTCACATGTGCTAAGCAAATACTTTTTCCATTGAGCCACATCTTTACCTCTTTTTTTTTTTGTGGAACCGGGGATTGAACTCAGGCCCTTGCACTTGCCAGGGAAGCGCTTATTCCACTGAGCCATCCCCCCGGCCCCATCTTTACCTCTTTTTAAAAAAAATTTTGATGCAGAAACTCGCTGACTTGCCCATATTAGCCTCAGACCCCTGAATAGGTGGGATTACACAACCATGTTTGACCTAGAGCTGTTTTCATATTGAGAAAAACTATTTTGGATTAAGTATTCCTTTTCTTCACCTTTGTGGTACCTGGGTACAACTCCAAGGTGTTGAAGTTATATGTGGTGTGGTGAGGGAGGAGCCTTCTGAGCACACTAGGATTGATAAATTATTGTGTTTCACAGGTTGCTTTTAAACCCTCCTTTGGAATAACATACTGTAATATGCAATTCCTGCTGCAGGGTGGCTTTGCTCCCTGGCAGTCATTGGGGTGGTTAATGTTATTAACATTGCTGCCAGCTTCAGTCTCCCACTGTCCCTCTACAGGAAGAACGTCTGAGGCGGGGTGATGACCTCAGATTGCAGATGGCCCTGGAAGAAAGCCGGAGAGACACGGTTAAAGTTCCCAAAAAGAAAGAGGTAAGAGCTTACTGAAAGGTAAATAGTTGAAACTGTCCTGTGGTTGTTGCTGTACTGTTACATCCCCATCCACGCCCTCAACACTGTGTGGTGGGGACACAGTGGGTTCTCTATTCTCAGTTAATAACTTGTTTGCCTATAAGAAAAGTAAGCATGCTATTGAAAGTACATCCCAAACGAGAGGAGAACTGTCCCTGTGCCTCAGTGCCCTCATTTATAACATGAGAATGTCAGTGATGCCTCCCTCCTCTGGTAATTGGTGGCTATTAAGTAAGCTAAATGGCACTTCTTTGGGACATTTTCCTGGGTCAGGGTTAGCTCCCAATAGCATTGGTCTTCATCATTGTCACTGATGTACTCCCCAAGGCTTCCCACTTTGACATAGATATAAGCGGGACATGGCTTTATTTCAGACATTACCACTCAGCCCAGGAGATAGGAACCCCCACCCCACCCTACCCACCCCTGGCCCTGCCACCTCAAGGGGCTCCAGAAACGCCCCCAGTACCCCTCCCCCCATTCTGATGTAACATGTTCCTGACAACAGACTTGGTAGTCATTGGAGTGACAAGGGTGAGACAGTCCTAAGAAGAGAAAGAGGGGCTCTTGGTGCACCTCTGAGCTGGGTGGGTGAGTGGGTGGGTGGAGAGAGTAGGAGGAGATTGCAGCCCAGCCAAAGTCCAGTGTTATTCTGAAAATATTTGGGGAACGCTGTGGTGTTCTTAACTCTTAAGAGCCTGTGGTGGGTGCATTTGGCAGATGGCAAATAGCTGGATCCTAAGCTCTCCTAGGAATATTTGTGGAGCTGGTGGGCACAGGATAGGAGGTGGACTAGCTAAATTTCCAAATCCCTCTTAGCTCCTACCAAAGGGCCTATACTGTAATAAGAGGCATGAGTGATATTTATGGCTAGTGCACGGGTATTTACTGTAACTGTAGCAAAGTAAAAGTATCCCCTTCTGTTTGTTTTAAAAGCATGGCTCGCACCCACAGCAGACTACTCTTTTGGACTTAATGGATGCTCTCCCCAGCTCTGGTCCTGCTGCCCAGAAAGTGGAACCCTGGGGCCCGTCAGCATCTGCTAACCAGACCAACCCCTGGGGTGGGCCGGCAGTTCCTGCAAGTTCTTCAGATCCCTGGCCATCATTTGGTAAAGATCCCATCCTTGACCTCTTGTGTTTGCCTGCTGGATGGTCGAGAGCAACAGAGCAAGGCCTCATACTCTGTCTTACCTAGTTCAGTCCTTTGTGGTGGGGGTGTAGGCTCCTCTGGTCCTGAAAATGATGCCCAGCAGGCCCTCAATCTCTGCCTTGGAGACAGAGGCACAAAGCTCTCTTTCTGTTTTGAATGGTTTTCTGCTTTGATAGAAGGAAAGCTGACTTTTTTCTCTGCCTCCCTTGTGCATGAGAAATGACTTCTCCCTATTGAGGGACATATTTTAGTTCTCTCAGTCTCAGAATTGTATCCAGCACCCTAGCTAAAGAAGCCATAATACCCAGCATGAAATATCTAAGTGAAGTTGCTATAATTAGCTGAAAAGTATCATATGCTTACCACTGCTGCTAATGGAAAGAGGGTACATTAACTGTAATTCTTCTTACTTGTTATTTAAAGCAATAGTAAATCAATTTAATAGGGTAAATGAATATTTCTAAGTTTTACTCAGTGCCATTGCTAGGGAAGGGAGATGAAAACATGAACAGGGCAGAATTGGTTTGTGCATATGATCCTGAGCACGTGAGTTTCTTAATTGCTGGGCAGAGCTTTGGCATCATAGCCTTTGTAAGGGCTTCTGGCCTGGTGCCCTGGGAACCCTGTCTAGTGTTCTAAACTGTGTTTGCCATAGTAGACTTATGGACTTCTTTCTTGCACAGGAACTGTGAATTGCATATTTGGTACATCTTACCTGTACCTCTTGGACTCCTTGTTACTCCAACTAGAATAATCTTTTGTATTTAGCTTAGTTCCCTGGATGTTTGTTAAGGTGTACCAAGTTGCCAGGCTGTGTCCTACCATGTGAGGACTTTGAGATGAACAAGTAATGGTTCTTCTCTCAGGTCCTGATCATGTGTGTGTGTGTATGATGGGATGCATGTGACAGGAATGCAGCATGATGGTGCTGTGTGACCCAGGCTTGGGTGGAGGTTATGTGGGGGCAGCCAGGAGGCAAGAGGGTTTGCAGGAGCAGGAAGGCCGCTTCCATTGAATGTTCAGGGAGGAGCAGGTGGGCAGACAATGAGAAGCAAGTTGTTCCTTGCAGAAGACAGCTTGTTAGAAGGCACGAGGGTGTGAGGGTACAGTTGGGACAGATACAGGAACTGTATAGTATGAAGCAGGCAGCAGGGAAATAGAGTAAGGAATGAGGAGGGGAAGGGTAGGCCATTTAGGTCACTCAGCCTCAGCTTTGCTAAGTACTCAGACATGGTCCAAGAAGTCATGTTAACCCTAGATATCCTTTTGTGCTCTTACTGGCCACAGAGACCATGTGTACTTCTTTCATAGGTGGAATTGTCCAGAGTTCTCACTCACTGAAGGGTGCTAGAGGTTGGTTTTCTTTCTGTAGCACTTGTACTCTTGCGCCAAGGAGCCTGTGATGTTGTGGTCTTGATGAACACACATATGGACCGTGTGGGGCAATTTGAGTGGAGATGCACAAGGCATCCAGGGGGATAGCCCTTTCAGGGAATGGCTTTGATTTTGTTTTCATATCTGAAGAATGATTATTCTGTCAAGTAACAGCCACTTTAGGTCATAGATGGGATATTTTTAGAAAGACTGTTCAGTCCTTTTCAAAATTATATGATAGGTCATTGAATGAGGAGCAGCTTCTCATTGCCTAGGAAAGAGTGCACACATTTTGGAGCCAGGTGAGTTTAGGATGCTTACTTTGTACCTGGTGAATACTGCGTGTTGACTAGGCCTTGGCACACGATTAGTAGAAGGGGGACCTAGCTTTTATAATTTGCTGTTTTATACTGTGGCTCACTTACCAGGGTTTTACTTGGTCAGGAAGGACAAAATAGTGATTGTTTTTAAAAAAAGAATGTTTATTTTATTTATTTATTTTTAGATGACCATGTTATGCCTAGCCATTTTCTTGGCTGGTAGCCAGAGCTATGTTCTGGTCTTTCTACTTTTATTTATTTATTTTATTTATTTATTTATTTATTTATTTATTTATTTTTTGGTGGAACTGGGGATTGAACTCAGGCACTTGCCAGGCAAGCGCTTATTCTACTGAGCTGTCTTCCTGGCCCCAATATTCTGGTCTTGTTCCTCAGGGCCCACCTGTCAAGTCAGGGCTACCTCCACAGCCTGGAATCAGCAACTGAAATAAATTTGGGCTATTTCTTCTTTTTGGTTCTTATGACTCCAGTTTTTAAAAAAAATATTGAAACCTAGATTTTTTTTCTTTTAAAAGTAGTAAGGTTTTATTTAAGGAAGGAAAAGAAATGCACTGCAGAGCAAGTTTAGGCCAAGTAAAAGTAGGAAAAAATACACCCTATCAGTGTAGGTTGGACTCTCCATCCAAGAGAGAACATGGTGGCAAAACCTGGAATTTTGAAATCTATTAATGTTTAAATATTGGCAGTAATTTCAAAAAATAGAACATGGTTGGGGTGAATCAAAATCTGAGAGTGGTCACATGTGGCTTTTGTCTTCCTGTTTGCTGTTTCTTGCTACTTCCCCACTTATAGCCTTGTTTTGCTAAACTTGGTGTTTTTGTATCAGTGAGTGGAGGAATGAACAGGCCACAAAGCTCAGAGAGGCTCTTTATTCCTCTGGGTTTACTCAAGTTAGTAATAGGTATAATACTGAAGATAACCATGTCCTGGAGTTGTCATACCATCGTGGCTTGCTACAAAGTCTTTATGTGGCTCTGGCAAGTCCTGGAAAATACCTCAGCTTCCAACATTAAGAGAGCCCAGAGCCAGGCATGGTGGCACATGCCTGTAATCCTGGCATTTATACTTCAGAAGCTGAGGATCATTGTGAGTTCAAGGCTAGCCTGGGCTACATAGTGAGATCCCATGTAAAAGTGGTGTGGGGATGGGGAGTGCAGAGCGAAAGACAGTCATTGTTAAAATAGGAGCTTATTTGCTTCCTGTTTTTCTTAGCACTATACTTTGTGTAGCTGAGGCTTTTTTTTTTTTTTTTTTAAAGACAAGGTCGTATTTTGTACAGGAGGCTGACTTTGAATTCAATGTGTAGCACAGGCGGGCCTTGAATTTGTGGTGATCCTCTTGCCTCAGCTTCCCAATGCTGGGATTTCAAGCGTGTGACACCATACCTGGCTAGGTCACATTATAAGAAATTGCATCTTATCTTATCTTATTTTATCTTATTTTATTTTATTTTATCTTGTCTGCCGGTCTGCCTACCTATCTACCTATCTACCTACCTATCTACATCATTAGAAACTGAAAAATGTAGTGCTAATGGGACATTGTTCCTCACCTCATTCCATATTATACAGAGATGCTTTTGCAGTTCTAGCACTGTTTTTAGTAGGAAAAGATACTGGAACCACAGTGTTCCCATGGGAACTCTCAGCGTTATGTATGTGACCAGCTGCAGGAGGACAGCCTCATGCCAGCTCCCTGGCTCACTGCTGCAAGTCAAGTCCCAGACAGTTTGCTTCCTTGTACTACAGACCTGGCTTCAGAGCAAGTGAGTGGTGTTGGGTTTACTGTTTGGTCTCTGGCAGAATCCAATGGTGTGTATTTTCATGGCCATCCTTCATTCTGAGAAATGGTTATAAATCAGAAAGATCAGTTTCTGCCAATAGCACTGGGAGCTGCGTCCTCTGGATAAAAGAAGCACTGTTTTGAAAGCCACCGTTTTTAGTGGGCCTTGTCATTACCAGTTCTTTCCAAGCAGCACTGGAGGCCCCTGAGCCAAGTGGCCTTGGGAGGAAATGCTAAGGCCGGAGAAAGGGAAATTGGAGCCTGCCAGGTCAGCAGGGCACTTCCTCCTCAGTTCCAGACACAAAGAAGCCACCTGGTCTGAGGAGGCCTCACAGCCTGGTAATTCAGAAGCCTTGGCCAGCTCAGTCCCCTTCTGCCCACCCACTACCACCTGGGGTGGAACAGAGCCTGTCTTCCATTCTGGTGGCAGCAGGTGGTGCTGCTAGCTTCTTGGTGACCCTTGTGTGGCTGTGACTGCCTCCTTGTGTCCATGAATATTCATCTCCAAAAGTCAGATACTGACTGCTGATGGAACTCATGTGAATGGGCCCTACAGAAGAGGAGTCCGGAAGCTGCTTGATCTTTCCGACCTTGGTTCCATCTTCCTTTCCTCTCATTCACTTGAGCTTTCAACAAGTGTTTATTTATTGGCTGTGTGGCATGGCCTGGATGCCTCTGAGACTATGGAGGCTAAGTACAGAGGGGCCTTGCAGCAGCTCTACTGTTCATTCAAAAAGATGAGCCGGCAGTGTTCTCTGGGGCAGCTGGGCCCTGGCCCATGCTGGCTGCCTTCCTATGCAAGGAGGAGGGAACATTGTCTTTATGCCACATTTGAAGAAAGTCATGCTGGCCATAGGAGCATTTATCTTTGTGGAGGGGTGCTTTGATCATTTGGCATAATCTGTGTTTGTGCCAGTAGCTTGCACAGACCTAGTTAGTGGACACACCTAGGTTCACAGTGTGCCTTGCAGAATGGAACCTGAGAGAGCTCACTCAGGCTAAGCAGCTTGTTTTCATAGTGACCTGGCTGATTTGATGAGCCTGGGTTTCATTCCATGACCAAAGCTCTGAGCTGTGATCAACTTTGTCCCTGCAGGTGTGGATTAGGGGTTCCTTCTGAGCCCAAGCATGTTGAGTTTGACAGTGTGCATTGCGCAGGCCGCTGAGCCCTTAAAATCCTTTGAGCATGCTGTTTTTGTCATTTCAGCAGCAGATTCTAAAGAGGAAATACACAGGGCCAAGGGAACTAACTGCAGGTTTTGGAAGATGCTCCAGAGAAACTGTGGGGTGTGATTGCATGGCAGGATGGGCTATTTGTGGGGAAGCCCTGATTCTTGTGGGCGGACTGGGCTTTGCATACTGCTGACTTAGGGAGAAAATACTGCAGTCCACATGGTTGGTGCAGTGATGTGTTATGGAGTTCATGCTGGAAAGAGCTCTTTCAGAAATGTTAAAATGCCTA